GCTGCTGCTGCTGCTGCTGCTCGTCACAGCGACCTGGAGCGCATGCAACTACGGGCAGCGAGTTTCGGAAAAAATGGAGCACCCGCCCAAGGGTCGAAGCAGAAGAAGCTCGTTTGCACCCCAACCGCATCGGCACCACGCACCACCGCCCTAGCCGAGCCTCACCGCACACACGACTCACGCGCCCGCCCACCCTCATGACAAAGTTTTGATTTATTTATTGATTGATTGATAATTTAGATGAGCCGAGCGAATGGATTGGTGACATTTTTTTTCTTTTTATTTTTTTTTTGTCTCTGACTTTCATGGGCTTGGCGCTACGGCACGCCACGGTGTGATGCGGTAGCCAGCTTTGCATTTCGGCCGTTGCGCAGACCCACCGACGAGGCTAAGGCGGGATGGCAGCGAGTCGGTCAAGCACATGGGTGCTGCACGAAAAATTCATGGAACTCGCTCTGTCTCGGATAGACTCGCAGCAGCAGCCGCAACAACAACAACAACAAATTGCATCGCCGCCGCCGCCGTCGCCGCCGCTGCTGCTGCTGCTGCTGCCATAGCCCGGATGTCCCCATCCGTGCTTCACAACTGCAACCGCTCCGTCTAATCTTATTTCATCGGTAAGCAGCCTGAACGGCACAGGACACTAACCCAACACGCATTGATGTCACCGAGTCGACACCGCCTGCTCTGCACGGGACCACAGCCAAGCTAATGCTCAGCTTGCGCCGACAAGAAACAGACGAGTGGGACGCAAACAACCGATTCATGCACGTCGCCACGAGACGAGATGCAAAAATAGCCAGGGCTCCACTACCTCCGTTCGCTTGCGCATGTCCCTTCTCCGCTCTCTCCGCTGTCCGCTGCACCCGTGCTCCGATCAGCCAAATGCATGCCCCAATCCATCCTCCCTCTCCCAAGTCCGCCCGACATCTGCACAGACGACCCTTCGCAGTAAGCGAGCCGCAAAGCTCGAGCGGACTCTCGACTCGTCCCCCCCTCCTCCCTCCCTGCCGATGCTGACAGCCCACACTCCGCGGAGCTAGCCGAGCTCGCTGATGACATCGGGCAGATCCCGAGACAGCTGCTGCGCAAGGAGGCGAGGATGAAACCCATTTTTCCCCCTTCCTTTTCTCAAATCCGGCATCCTCGCCTCTCTCCCTGCCTTCCTTCGAAGCTTCTTTCATTTTTATTCTTTTATTCGATTTGATTTCTTTCTCGCCCACTCCTCTCTCCCTCGCCCTTCTCCGCAGGCCCTCGTCGCTTGAGAGCGCAGCATGCGTCTCAATGCCAATCGATAGACAACGCCGCCACGACGTCCAGGGAGGGAAAGGGAGGACCGGACACCCCACGCGCACGCCGAGCCCCCTGAGTCTTGGCGGCATCCGTCCCGTTTTCTCTCCACGCTTCGACTCGCAGAGCCAACAATGGCTTGGCGAGACGCGGACGAAAAGCTCTATCGATGCATCCGGACCCAGGCGCGCTTTCTACGCATGAATCGACATCAAAAGAAACCGCTGCGCTCCACACCATCGAACCCGACCCGTGGCGGGAGGTCGTGGTGTCTTGTAACCCTTCCATGCGCAGAGCAACGCCTCGCGGGCTGGAGCGGTGCCAGCAACGCACTGTGGCTTCCGCCACTTGGTCTCCGATCCAACCTGATCGCATCACCGCTCGGATAGAAGCCATCGAACCTCGCGCTTCGGGCTGCAAGCGTGCGTACCGGTGCAAAACACGGAACGTACCGAATTGGCACCGAATTGGCTTCACCCTCCATCGCCCGCCAGGCCCGCTCCGTGTGCGATCCAGACCCGCGCTTGTCCTGCCGACACGGCCCAACACGGGACGCGTGCTGTGTGGAACTTTTACCACCTCCTGAGCCACAGCCAGCCAGCGCCAGGCAGGGCGAGCAACGCATCTGGAACAACGCTTCGGAGTTCGGCTGCGCCCTACCACAAGCGAGAGTTCGCATTCGGACCGAGCAACGCTCCATGCAGCAAAGAAATCCAAATGCCGTCGCTCCACGCCGCCGCGGCCCATCCAACGCTCGTGCTCGCTCCTGCGTCTCGCCAGCATCGCACACGCATACATCCCTCCGAGACCTGCCCGGCCATGCTCGGCCATGCCCGACCATGCCACGTCAGAATCGCGCTCCTCGCCCTGGCGCTCTCTCCGCGCCGCGCCGCGTGGTCATCGTGTTTGACTGTACCCTGCAGATGACACAACACCAGCGGGCGCATGAGCTGTGTCTCACCGTCGAAATCCGCCCGCCTCGTGCCATGTGCTCCGTTTTCCAAATCCTGGCTTCGAGCCCAAAGTGCGCATCGATTCCACCGCTCTGGACCACTTATCCGAGCGAGGCATAGGCGGCTGGCGTGCCTAATTCGTAATTCAACGACCCAATCGTAGCTCGCTTGGGCTGTGCCAACGAGCCAAGTTGCGTGCCACTCTGCGGCGTGACACACCCGCAGATATTGCCGGCATGCATGGACGCCATGCCAGGCTCGCACGCCAGAGTCTCCCCTCACGCCGGGTGCGCGAGGTTTTCATTTCGTAGTTCGATTTGGATGCCTTGGCTTGCCTTTCCGGCTGGTCCGACACCTCGCTGGATCTCCGACTCATGCTCGTTTCCGATCCAGCTCGACGTGCCTTGCAGCTTGCACCAAAGTAGAGCATGCCAAGTCGATGACCCGTCGGCACTGTGGCACTGATACATTCCATGCGAGGTCTAGGCGCTCGACTAAAGATCTAGCGCGGATCTGTCGGCTCTGCCGGATTCTGCGGGGCGCGCGTGGACAAGATGAGCTCGACTCGTCGTCGGGAACAGCGGTTGCCAATCTTTGCGTCCGTGCCCGCGTCGTTGTCCGCTGTCTCGCCTCGTACAACAACCATTGACGACACCCAAGTTGCGGCGAATGGACCGGTGCCAGATCGTCGCCACGATGACGATCGAGCCAGCACGATATCTTGGCACGGATTCATCCACAGAAGCTGGTCACGCGCGCGCGCACAAACACAAACACACACACACACGCGCGCGCGCACAACTGTCTCACCATTGCGTTGCGTCTCGGGAGACGAGCATGAGAGGCGGAGGGGAGGGCATGGTGGAGCGAGTTGGCCGGCTATGAAATTGGATCGCGACGTGCGCGCCCGGTTGTGCAAAATGCCAGGGCTGGCGCTGGCTGGGTGGATGCGTTGCATGCATTCGTTGCATGCATGCATCCATGCATGTTGCCTGAAGTAGGAGCGCTTCCGAAAAACATGCGGTCGCGCCAAGACGCCATGGGTCTGTCCGAGTTCCGAGAGGATGCGCGTGGCTTTCAAGCCCCGACGCTCGCCTCTTTCCGTCCGAGGCGATGCCAACGCCACCTCGCGGGCGCCGGGCCTCGAGAGTTGCAACGCATTCCGCGGACCGCACCCGCACATTCTCACTTTCAGCCTCCGACGCCTGTCCAATTGACCTGCCCCGCCCGCTTTAGGGCTCCGCACGCGTCGGCGGCCATCTTCCGATCGGCCTCGTCACCTTGTTCTTTCTCTCTGTCGGCTACTTTTTTGGCATTTTTCCGGCTATTTCTTTGTTTTTCCCTCGTTCTTTTTCTCTTCTCTGGATCTCGTCTCGGGTGTGCATCCCGTGCGGCATCTCCGTCAACTATCTTCGTCTCGGGAGCCTCGTGGACCAGCGACCTACATGGACCGAAGCATGCCTAACTTACGTCGCAGCGTTTCGTCATCAGCTGGCATCAGCGTTGCGTCTTTGCCGCGAGCTCATGGAACGCGGCGTACAAGCCTCGTCGCCTCGGCCCATCTGCTACGCTCGCCGTAAGCGCCTCCCGAACCATGCCGGACTCCTTCAGGCTTTGCAGTGCGGCTAAAAGGTTGTGCAGCCACGCGCAGTAGCGAGACTCTCTGGCAGCGTCGTGTACCGCGGTTCATCGTCGCTCCTCCCGCTCTGCCCCTGGCCGAATCGGCGTCGCTTGTCATTTCATCACTGCTGGCAATCATCCCGGCAAGGTTCCCGGCAAGGTTGTCGGCAGGCTTGTCGCGGTGCATCTCACCATGCGAAAATCGTCGGAGCCTCTGCGGCGCCGGGAGCATGATCGCATGCGTTCGAAATTCGAACCCAGCAGTCGACTCGAAGCTCGAACGGTAAGGTCCACGGATCGCGCCTCCCGTCGACGGGCAGCATGGAAGGGCGAGCCAGACAATGGTCGCTGGCGATGAGATTTCTCGAACCTCGGCTAGCGGCAAGAGGCGAGGAGGCGAATCAATCTCAGCTAGGCACCAAACTCAAGATGGCTTGCTGTCGACTCTCCCTCGTGACGCCTGACGCCCGAAGAGCCGGCGTCGGCAGGCGGCATGAAATTTCCATGGAACGACGCAGCGACCGCAGCGACAGCCAACGCGTGCTGCTGTGACTAAAGCCGCTTTCGAACTCCAGAGCCTGGAATCTCGACGTGAACCTCGACGTGGGCGCGCGTTGAAAAGCTGACGTGCCTTTTGTTGACCCGTGCCTGGATTCGACTCCGCCCTCGCTTTTTCTTTTTCTTTTCTTTTTGATTTACTTATTTTATCTTTGTGCCGCCACACGCGTGAGGAAGTACTGGAGTCAGCGTTTGGATCTATTCGAAATTGCAGCCAAAATGTTCATCCGCCCACGCGCTCGTCGGTGGCTGACACGGCTCGCTTCGGCCTCGCCTCGCCTCTTCTTTGCCCGTGCATGCATGGCGGCCGGCACCGAGCGACAGCCTCCCCACGTCCATTCATCCAGGCCCTCTCTGCCCCGAGCTTCCGCCGTGCGATTCGCGCAGCCCACCCGGCGCCTCAAAATCTCATGGAAGGCAAGAGCAATCAGCTAGTACGACCGACCAGACCGACCAGTTTTCGATGCGGTGTGCCTGACGGCAGAGCGAGCCGAAGGTGAAGCTTCTGCGACGACGGGCAAGCGGTGCATGCAGCAGATACGGTCGGTCATCGCTTCCGTTGGGATCGACACGACGTCCCCGGCCAGAACGATTGTGTATGCAGCCGCGTCGGCGCCACATGCTGCGATGCGATCGAATCTGCAAGGCAACAAAGAGCCCTAAGCGGTGGCGCAAAGCATGAACACCTTCTGAGCGACTCGCCTAGCCTCGACCGACAACCAAGCTCACGATCCGATTGGCGCCTCGGCTCAACCGAGCTTCGATGAGGTCGTCGTTGCACAATCGAAGCGCGAAGCAATCGTTTTGTTGTTAGACCGCATAACTCAAGAGGATTCTTTGAAAAAAGGACCGAGTGTAAGAGTCGCGGAGCTGACATCTGTACCAAAACACGTGACCACAAATTTTCGTTCAGGGCCCCGCCGTCGAGGATTTTTCTTTCTTCTTGCGGCTCGAGCAAAGCTCCACATTTTTGCTTCTCCACGTTCCTATCCTGCGACCTTTCCCATCACCACCTCTTGCAGCCATCAGCTTTGCTACGAACGACAGCAGCTGCACGATTGATCAGAGAAACCATGGCGTCCGTATACCAGCAAGCCTCGAAGGCGGCCAAGGGCAAGCGCAAGGCCGATGGCCACGACGACGACGGCGCAACGGCGGCGCCCATCCGCAGGAACAAGCAGAGGGTGCTCATGCTGCCCTCGAGAGGCGTCACGTCGCGCATGCGCCACCTCATCAATGACCTCGAGTCGCTCATGCCACATACCAAGAAGGACAGCAAGTTCGATTCCAAGTCGCAGCTGCACATGCTCAACGAGCTCGCCGAGCTCAACAACTGCAACAACGCGCTCTACTTTGAGGCGCGGAAGCGCGAGGATCTGTACATGTGGGCGTCCAAGACGCCCAATGGACCGTCGGCCAAGTTCCAGGTGCAGAACATTCACACCATGGACGAGCTCAAGATGACCGGCAACTGTCTCAAGGGCTCGCGCCCTATTCTCAGTTTCGACAAGGAGTTTGACGAGAAGCCGCACTGGACGCTCATCAAGGAGATGTTCACGCAGATGTTTGGCGTGCCCCGCGGCGCGCGCAAGTCCAAGCCGTTTGTCGACCACGTCATCTCCTTCTCCATCCTCGACAACAAGGTTTGGTTCCGCAACTACCAGATTGTCGAGTCGGATCCAGGCGCCACGGCGATCGCCCAGGTAGAAGAGGCGCAGAAGGGCGACGGCAAGAAGGGTGGCAGCAAGAAGGAGACCAACAAGCAGCCCAAGCTGGTCGAGATCGGCCCTCGCATGGTGCTCTCGCCCATCCGCGTGTTCGAGGGCAGCTTCGGCGGCGCCACCGTGTTTGAGAACCCAGAGTACATTTCGCCCAACGCCATCCGCCACATGGTGCGCAAGCAGAAGGGCAACAGGTACACCGACCGCGTCAACCAGCAGGAGTCGTTCCGCACCAAGAAGGACCGCCTCAAGCCGCAGGAGGACGCTCTCAGCTTCAACAAGGTGTTCGCCTGAGGCTTCGGGCTCGCACGCGGCGCTGTATCGATACCATCCAACCTTGTTGCATTGCATTTTTCTTAGTCTCATGGCACTCACCATTGCATCACCTACGTTATGTGCCTGCCGTCGTGGCTTGCGAGTGTCTCTGATGTGAAATGCGTGCGCAGAGAGATTCTCAAAAGGAGGTCGTAGGTGGATCGGGCTTGCGCACGGTGGTCAAAGGGCGTTGGCGGGCAGAAAGCGCCAACGCGTACAGTGGATGGGAAGAAATCGACAGAATCCGTGCTCGAGAAGAAACCCAAAATTGCAGACTTGGCGAGGCGAGAAAAAGTCCAACACGCAGCGACGCAGCGACGCAGCGAAACACACATGCGCCACGCCCGCGCTTCTTGGGCGGCGGGAGGGAGGGAATTCCAACGCACGCAGGGCTGCGCTGCAGATCATACGAGAACGGGCGCTGGTTGGGGCGCGTTGGTATCCGCACGCACCTCCTCGCCGATCCTTGTTCTCGACCGACACCATCGACCACCCCACATTCCAGCATCATGAGCTCGACCATCTACCAGGCGACGTGCTCGGCACCCGTCAACATCGCCGTCATCAAGTACTGGGGCAAGCGCGACACCTCGCTCATCCTGCCCACCAACGACAGTCTCTCGGTGACGCTCGACCAGGACCACCTGCGCTCCGTCACCACCGCGCGCGCCGATGCCAGCTTCGATGGCCAGGACCGTCTCTGGCTCAACGGCGAGGAGGAGGTCATCAAGCCCGACGGCCGTCTGCGCCGATGCATCGACGAGATGAAGAAGCTGCGCCAGGCCAAGGAGGCCAAGGACGCGAGCCTGCCCAAGCTGTCCGAATGGGCGGTGCGCGTGTGCTCCGAGAACAACTTTCCCACGGCGGCAGGCCTCGCTTCGTCGGCGTCCGGCTTTGCGGCGCTCATCGCCTCGCTCGCGGCGCTGTACGAGCTGCAGCCCGAGGTGTCCACTTCCGAGCTCTCGCGCATTGCTCGTCAGGGCAGTGGCTCGGCTTGCCGTTCGCTCTTTGGTGGCTACGTCGCATGGCAGGGCGGCGAGCAGGCCTCGGGTCAGGACAGTCTGGCTGTCGAAGTCGCACCGCAGTCGCACTGGCCCGACCTGCAGGCGCTCATCTGCGTCGTCAGCGACGCCAAGAAGGGCACCCCCTCGACGGCGGGTATGCAGCGCACCGTGCAGACATCGCCTCTGCTCCAGCACCGCATCAAGGACGTCGTTCCCCAGCGCATGAAGGACATCTCGGCTGCCATCCAGAACAAGGACTTTGACACGTTTGCCAACATCACCATGGCCGACTCGAACAACTTCCACGCATGCTGCCTTGACACCGCCCCGCCCATCTTTTACATGAACGACGTCAGCCGCGCCATCGTGCAGCTCACCGAGGAGCTCAACCGCGCCAGCGAGGCCGAGGGCAAGGGCAAGCTCGCCGCATACACCTACGACGCCGGCCCGAACGCCGTGCTGTACGCTCCCAAGGCCAACATGCCCACCATCCTCCAGACCATCCGACACTACTTCCCCAACGCCGACTTTGACGACACCGTACGTATAAACTCGATCGACTCTGCGGACAAAATGGCCATCGAGACTGACTGGTTTCCTTTCTGGGCGTTTGTGTAATAGTTTGATCTGCTGGGTAAGGGTGCTAACGCGTCGCACCGTGGTGCACAGGATGCAGTGGCGCTGCCGCAATCGCTGCCGGCGGCGTTCAACAGCAACGTGATTCCCGTGCACGAGGCGGGTGCCGTGCGCCGTCTGATCCACACCCAGGTGGGCGACGGACCTCGCGTGCTCGAGCGTGGCCTCGGCGCCGAATCGCTGCTCACCGAACAGGGCGAGCCCCTCCGTCTGCAGCGTGCCAAGCGCGCATGAGTTGCGTTCACCCCTCGTCTGTGCTCAACCAGCCCCGTGATACAATGTGCTTCGAATCTATCCCAAGGAGAACCATGTGATTTCAATCTGCCTCGACTGCGACAGTGGGTCACGACGCCGGCGCCGAGAGCTTGTTCTGCACCAGCACTGCGATTGTTCCAGCAAATGAGCAAGTTGTGTCAGTTTTGAACGAAGCAGCATGAGTGTGCGAGAATTGGGGGACGTACCTTTCTCGAGACCTTCACGGAAGGCGTCTGTGTCGATACCGTGTGTGCGATCGATTCTGCGTTCGCTGACGACTGCAACGCCTGCTTGAGCGGGGTTGTGGGCATCTGCATCTGGATCAACGATGCGTTCCTCGCGCTCGAATGCGCGCAGCAGCGGATTCCTCACCACGCCATCCACCCAGGGACCGCGGTAGATCTGTAGCAGCACGCCCTTGAGACTCATGCCGCCGGTGCCGGGGATGCCTCCGCCCGTGCCGAACGACGAGCGCCCAGACAAGGCGGCGGAGGCACTGCCGATCGCGAACCCATCGCTCGTGCGGCTCGGTATCGACGAGGGCGGCGGCACGGGATCGGTGACGATGACGAGCGTGTACATGGTGGGCGTGTGCAGATGCGCCAGCGTATACGTCGAGGTGGTGAAGCTGTTGAACGTCTCGGCGTCGCCGCCGAGCTTGCGCACCATGTTGCGCAGCGAAAACACCACGCCGTACACCAGCTTGGCCTGCTCGTCGAACGGAAGCAGCTCGGTTGCCGACGGGTCGATCGCCGCCGTGGCCGTGCTTCGGTGCTCTACAGCAGCTCGGGGCGCGGATGGG